GGATTTTAGAGTAATTACATCATTTTGTGGTACTTATTTGTGATTATTTTCTTATTTCAATGAGAATTATTTTTCTTTTTCTCATTTAAAAAATATAGAATTAAGAAAAATTATCAACACGAAAATTTCTCTTACCTTTTAATAAAATAATTTTGAAAGTAAACTAATAAAAATCACTATTATTAAATAAGCGAAATGTAATATAAACTTGCAATATGTTCCGTTGAACTGCTAGTCAGGCAAGTGAAGTAGATGTGGACAAATTTTTTTTTTTAAAAAAAGAAATATTCTGAACAATATATCCAGAGTAATATATATTTTTTAACAAAAATGGCAAGCAAAAGCTTGGAAGGGTTTACAGCCCAAGTGAAACTAATAGACATAACTTAAGCAATCCATTGCTTATTAGCCAAAATTAAATTCCTACAATTCACAAGTTCTTCTATAATGAGAGTGAGTTCATTGCTTATAGAATGAGCACTTTCGAGGAAAGAAATTAGCAAGCTATAATGCCACACGTCTAACATAATATAGCTTTACCTATCTGTGTTGTGAGCAATTGACCACGTGCATAGGTAATTTCCCTATTCAACAGATGATCAGGTGGAATGCCTTTCATCAACAAGAGAATCGCATTGGCAGCATCTGAGTACATAATAGTTTTACCTATAATCAGACGATTGCACACCTCTAATTCTGATACAATAGCTTGGATTTCAGCCACTACACTTGGCATGAATCCTAGTAAACATCTGAAACCCATAATCCACCATCCATTGTTGTCATGGATGACTCCTTCGCATGCTCTATGTCTTTAATCATCCACCGACTCATCAACATCTAATTTGAATGTACCAACAGGTAGACGAATCCAGTGGACTTGGTTAATTCCCTCGGAAGGGAGCTTGCACCTTCCATGACTTTCTTGCATCTAGCCTTTCAAAGTAGCCAGCAGCCTTGATTGAAAACTTTAAACCATATAGCCATTTGGCAAAGGTTCCATTCCTATAGGATGCCGAGAGATTGTTTTTGAGCTAACCCTATAAGTCACCATTAAAAAACACATAATACTAATTATTGTTAATTAAATGTCTCTAGAAGTTTTTTGCCTCACGACAGTCTCTCAGAATGTGTAGGACACTATCTTCTCTATTGCATCCAAACACTTATCTCGCTTGACTAATCCTCTTTTAAGTCTTAGTGAGTTGGTAGAAAGTTTTTCTTGGAACACCTGCAAAAAAAAAAAAAAAGTATCCTTTCACAATGAGGGGATCATCTCCAGATTCACGCTAACAAAACACATTTGGTCCCCTTCTTATCAGGATGTGGATAGATAAAATCTTGTTGATGACTTCGTGTGGTAAAAACAAACAATATTTGTGTACATTCCATTGCCTAGAAGTTGTGATAAAATCAGCCACTTTATCTATCGAGTTAAGTTCAGCACTACTATTGATCACACAGATAGTAATAGGTTGATTAAGTGGTGATCAAAGATCCCACCAAAAGCTAGTATTGCAACCATTCAAGAGTTTTTCCCCGTGCTACCTTTGAACTTATCTCAAACATTGCAAATACTTTTTCATGTAGTAGACATTATCTTCTTTTTCCTATCACAGTCATATCTCCATTGACCATCACCGCATTTGTACTTTTCCCTTAAGCATCCAACCCATGGAGTCGATGGCTTAGTAATCAATACCTAGCATAGTTTCATGATGAAAGCGGTATCTTAGCTTAATAATCATTGGACCATTGATATCATTTGGATTCGAACAACTGAAGTTGACTAAGATTTGGCCGCCATCCTTGATCTAGACCAGCCAGTTGATGTCATCTGAGTTACTTTAAAATTTAAACATAAAATTTAAAATTTAAAATTTTATTTAAAATTCAAACAAAGTCTTTTAATATTATAATTTTAAATTTTTTATATCATCTAAAAAAAATTAAAATTTATAAATTTTAAATGTAAGATTACAAATTTAAATTTTTAACTAAAATTCACCCATTCAAACACAACTAAAGGATTTTTATACAGTTAGTTGTTCTTATTTGTCAAAACCTTAACAACTCGCAAATTATCGTAAGAACATAATTGGAAATATATGGGGAAATTTCTGTGGCCTTCAAATCTATGCTATCCCATGAAAATTTATTGATAGCAGTACGCATTCCTATAACATACTAATGGAAGTCACACTTTCTAGAAGCCAAGAACTGATCAAATTGAGGCCAAATATATTTTTTTCCCTCCTTTTTCCGGAGAAACCATGCTTACTTTTTTTTTTTTAATTAAATTGAAGTCAGCTAAAGTTTATTGGCTCATCGCCCTTTCCTCGTCGAATATTCCCGCGTAGAATCCACGTCAGCGTGAGAGGGGGACTTTTGACGCGGGTCTACATACAAGAGGCGTGTCGTTTAAATTATTTAACTAAAATTTTAACAATTTAAAATTTATTTAATATAATAATAATTTTCTTATATTAAATTTTAACCATTAAAATTGAAATTTAAAAGTAAGAAAGGTAGGAGAAATTAAAAGAAGTAGGAGCGAGTCCAGTCAAACATTATGAATTACTTTCTCTGTTTAAAAATATAAATTATTTTTAATTGAATTTTATCTCTCAATAAAATAGTTATCTATTTTTAAATTAACCCTATTTTTTTATATTTATCCCTATTAAATACCTTATAATAAATAAAAATTCATTATCAATAGGGATACTTTTTAAAAAAATAATAATTATACCTCAAAAGATTAAAAATGCATTACATTTTTAAACATTCAACTCCTCAAAAAATACTTTATATTTTTAAATGGAGGGAGTATAAAAGTATATTTTATTTTACAAACGCTGGATGCTCATGATACCATTATCTCTCATCTTTGGAAGAGGTCTTAGACTCAATTTTGGTCTTGACATTATTGTAAGACAAACTTTATTTTTTCACCCATTAAAAATTAATTATAAGGATATTTCAATCCATTTTTTAATAATTACTCCCTATTTAAAAATGTAAGGAATTTATATATAGTATTTTTAATGTTTTAAATTGTAGTTAATGCATTTTTCCCCCAAAACAATCCATAATAAATAAATTATTTTGTATTTGTTTTTAAATAAAATATCATGTTAAATAGGGATAAATATGAAAATATAACATTATCTTAAAGATAATTAACTAATTATTAAAAATTATATTCAGTTAAAAATACTTTATATATTTTAATGGATGGAGTATTATAATTATCTAATTTTTTAAACCATATGATTTTATTGTCTGTTTATATGGCGGTAATACGTAACATGATTCATTAAAACTCTAGTCTCTCTATATGACATGAAGTCCATTCTAAATGAGATAGATAAGATCATAACTCATAAGATAATTCTTACACCTTAAACTAATAAACTCTAGCCTCAATCTGGCATAATTTTTTTTGAACTGCCGTGAGAAGCACAAAATTGAGGTTGAGATCTTCACCGGTGGAGCTCCTTCCGGCTCCCGCTAATGGATGGTGTCTGCTCTGTTGCAAGGAAAAACCAGGCCAAGTGGTAAAACTTGAAATCTTGGATCTTTTTGATAAGATTCAGACGATTCACCTTACCTGGAACAAGGGAAAATCTTACTTTGACAAGGTTCTTTGAGAACGATTGCTTGCTGTGAACTCTTCTATTCTGGATGAAGGCTGTCTCGATAAGCGAAAATATGCCGTTGTCAGATCTCAACATTGCATGCTCTCGGACTCTCGGTCGTCCATGGAGAGAGACATCCAGCATCCCCTTCTCTTGTTCTCGCGAGTCTACGACTTTCGATTTCAGAACCCACCGCGTCTATTATAGAATACCTTTTAATTTTTAATATAAAATAATTAATAGATATTAATTATAATTTTTTAATACTACTCTCATTTAAATTTATTAACTATAAAAAAAGATGTAATACAAATTTTAAAATTTGTCATTTTAATAAAAGTAAAATTAACAAATTTATTATATTTTTAAACAAAATAACTCAACAGGGGATTGGTGGGAAGGGAGTACTGCCCCTAGCGAACTGTGTTTCTTCTTTGTTTCCAGGGACCGGAACCTCTCCTGGTTCCAAAATTCCGGTGATGATACAGGTGCAAATCCTTACCTTTCATTTCTTCCCATTCAATCCAATGGCAGTTGCTCTGCCCGCTCATTTCTCGACAGCGACATTTCTGCAAAAGTTAAGGCATGGAGACAATGAACGAGTCAATGATAGTGAGATCTTTAATAAAAAAATTTTATAAAATAAATTATAAATATTAATTTAAACAATTATTAATAAAATTTTTTATCATAATTTAACAATTGTATTTAATATTAAATACATATTTATAATTTTAGTTTTTGAATTTATAATAATTTAAATCGATATTGTTAACTTATTTATTAAAAGAATTTGTTGAAGATTTAATTAGTATTAATTTAATATTTTAAAACTTAGCTATCATTTTCCAAAACTTTGCAATGTCAAATCTTAATTATTTTTAAAAATAATTATAATTTTCATCAATTTTTTAATACTAAGGCCCTGAAGTTGACTCAGTCAATGAATGAGTTTTAATTAAGTCATTTTAATTAATTTACTCTTCATAATAAGTTAATTGATAATTATATTAATGTGTTCACATGTATACGTAGTTTAATGAAAATAAATTAGTTTTAAATTGATTTAATTTTCATCAGTATGATACTTTATGCTGCGTCTTGTTTATTTGTTTTTTTAAACTTTTTGTCATAAAATGGTCCAGGGAGATCAGGTTCTAATATTGGTTTATTAGTCAAGAAAGAAGCAGCCAGGAGCAGCAATCATTGGATTGAATGGGAAAAAAAAAAAATTGGACGGTGATGATTTGCAGGATCATCACCAGGATTTTGAAATCAGGAGAGGTTCCGATCCCTTGTTTTCCAGTCTCACATGTCCATTTATATATATTCGCGGAAAGTTTTGATTGGAAGATATCAAAGTCTACAACCTAGTGGCAGAGGATTGTTGACTGAAGAATGGCATTTGATCACGATGCCTTGCTCTCAAATGCCTACTTTCCTTCATTAGACTAGATGACATTAGGATATCTGTCTCACAGACACTAACATGAAACTAAACTTGAATCTCAATTTGTTCCTGAGTTTGATGTGGCTGTCCTTACATTCCACAGATGCAATTACGTACAGAGAAACGTTGGGGATGGGCCAATTACTGGGAACCTCAGATACTTTGGTGTCTGCTAACGGGAACTTCGAACTGGGGTTTTTCGCTCGTGAGAATTCGACCAAGTACTATGTAGGGATGTGGTTTAAGAAAGTTCCTAAAGATAACATTGTTTGGGTTGCGAATAGAAAGCTCGCCACCAGCGATTCCAATGCCGTTCTCACTGTTAATGAGGAAGGAAATCTTGTTGTTAAGAATGAAGGAATGGTATACTTCGTCACCAACATTTCCGGTGTCAGCAATACCCATGCTCTGCTCTTGGATTCAGGTAATCTCCTGCTGATGAACAACTCCAAGTTGAACATTTTGTGGCAAAGTTTCGACAATCCCACGAATACCCTTTTGCCTGGAATGAAGGTAGGATTTGACTCAGAATTAGAAATCAGTTGGTCATTGAGATCGTGGACAAGTGTAGAAGACCCAAGTCCTGGAAATTTCTCTCTTGAAGTTGACACTTCCAATTGGAGGCAGAGGCTAATAATCAGGAGGAAGTCTGAGATATACTGGGTTGGCGATGAACTATCTAATTTCACGTTTCAAAGTTCTAATAACCGAGACGGTGCTATATGGGACTTGGGCTATTTAACTTGGCAGGGGGACTATTCTTCTCGATTGGTTCTGGAAGTTTCTGGAGAGCTTAACCAGCAATTATGGTCACAAGACACCATGCAGTGGGTTTCTTTGCTGTCATCCAAGTGCGGGAGAAACGCAACCTGTGGAAATTTTGGCATTTGCAACCCGCAAGCCACGGACCCTTGTGAGTGCCTCCGCGGATTTAAGCCGTACGATGAAGATTCTTGGAAGAAAGGGGACACATCCGCAGGTTGCGTGAGGAAAAATGAGTTATGCAGTAACATGAGCAGCAATGGATTGGGTGACGGGTTTTTACCAGTCGATAGAGTGGATTTTCCTTTAGACAGTCCGCTTGCCTTCAAGACTGAGAACGCTTTAACATGTCAAAAAGATTGCTCAATCAATTGTTCTTGCGTCGCTTATGCTTACGATGTTATGGGTCGTTGCTTGTTCTGGCTTGATCGAGTGTTGAATCTGAAGAACATCTCGGTTGATCTTAGAGATGATAATTCTAGACCAAGTTTCCACCTCAAACTGGCTCGCTCTGAGTTGATTGACAATGGTATGATGAAGGAAGCTCTTATGACTTGCATACGAACCGCCCCCCTTATTTGGGAAGATTATGCTGATTGTAATTTGCTTATTGCTCTATGCAGAGTTGAATACAGAAAAGAATCCTGATCATAAGTCTAATCAGAGCCAGAAAGTGGTGCTAACAATTGTCGTAGTTATCTCATTTCTTTCGTTGTTTACACTAGTCCTATTTGCATACTACTGCTGGACGAGAAAGCTTGGGAGAGAAGGTAAGAAAAAATGTATAAAGCTTTGAATATGAATGTTAATAATGTGAAGTCACAAAAAGAGCTAATTTTCCTCTCACTGTACAGCGGAGGATCTGCTATTGTTTGATACAGGCATGAGCATGAAAGTTGAGATCTCAGAGCTTAGCGATGTCGATAAGGTTGGGAGAGTTAACAAGAGGGATGTCAAATTGCCATTGTTTAGCTTTGCAAGCGTTTCTGCAGCAACTAATAACTTTTCACCTGAAAATAAGCTTGGTGAGGGTGGCTTTGGACCTGTTTACAAAGTAAGATCCAAGTTCAAATCCTTTAGGTCCACAGCAGAGCTTCTTGAAATAAAATGAACACGTATAGACTAATTTGCAGGGTAAGCTGTTGAATGGGGGTGAGGTTGCTGTGAAAAGGCTATCTGCAAAATCTGGTCAAGGATGGGAGGAGTTGAAAAATGAAGCATTGCTCATTGCAAAACTCCAACACAACAATCTTGTTAGGCTTTTGGGTTGTTGCATTGAACGTGATGAAAAGATGCTGATTTATGAATTCATGCCAAACAAAAGCTTGGATTTTTTCCTTTTTGGTTTGCACTTTTTTTTTTAATCTCAATTCTTAACTTGCATGTGGAATTTTCTCATTTTGTTTTAAACTTGCTCGACGTATAATGCAAAACAGATGCAACAAAACGCCAGATTTTGGATTGGGAAACCCGAGTTCGAATAATTGATGGGATTGCTCAAGGTCTTCTCTATCTTCATCAGTATTCTAGGTTTTGAATCATTCATAGAGATCTAAAAGCCAGCAATATCTTGTTGGACATCAACATGAATTCTAAAATATCAGATTTTGGAATGGCAAGATTATTTGGTAGAAATGAATTACAAGCAAATACCAACCGGATAGTTGGTACTTAGTAAGTATAACTAAAAGTTCCTATTAGTCTATAAAGTAACAATTTTTTTTAGTAGATCAATTCAATTGCAAATGAATATATAAGTATTTTATAGGTATATTTCACTAATAAGTATCTTATTTGTTCATTGATGGCTTTTAGTGGTTATATGTCTCCTGAATATGCATTGGAAGGTATTTTCTCAATAAAATCAGATGTGTTTAGCTTCGGAGTCCTTTTGTTGGAGATAATAAGTGGGAAAAAGAATACTGGTTTGTATAAAACAAACTCCCTCAATCTTCTCGGATATGTAAGTATCTAACTCAATCAATTTCTTATTTCTGCAAGTTCAGAATTGATTGATTATATGAAAATTGTGATTTCTAGAAGCTAGCAGAGATCGGTTACTTATTGCCATGTTAATGTTGGGTTCTTCATTTCTTTGTGGCTTTAAAGGCATGGGACCTATGGACAAGTGGGAGAGGAACAGAGCTGATGGATTCAGCATTAGAAGGTGCATCCATAAAGAAAATGGTGTTACTAAGATACGTGAATATAGCACTGCTTTGTGTTCAAGAAAGTGCAGAAGACAGACCGACCATGTTTGATGTTGTTTCAATGCTTGGGAATGAGAATGTCGTACTGCCTTCTCCTAACCCTATAGCTTTCCTGAATGTAAGAGGTATCAGGACTTCAAGTTCAGAAGGAAGCTCAACAGAAAATGTTTCTATCAATAACATGACTGCTTCTGTTATGGAAGCAAGATGAGCCGGGACTTCCTTACATGTATATTACTTCTTAGCAAACATTGCAGTTTTGCATTATAGGATGTCTCTACTTCATTTCTTGCTATATCTCAGTAAAATTGTATCATAATCAGGAATCAAGCAAGGATTACCAAAGAAAATTATATATATATATATATATATATTTTGTCATTGATAACCCTTATTTGATCAGGTGACAATTTCAAATGCAAATGTACTTTCTGCAAGGTTATTGTATTATTTGCATAGTTGATTAGCTAATTTCTGCAAGTCTGTGTCTTGCCCCGTGTGTTCTGCTCAAAAACATAGAGGGAGAAAGAAAGGATACAAATCAAAATTGAAATGCATGAGTATTTTCTATGGTGTTCTGTTACTTTGCATATGGATTCAATCATCCAAAGCCTCCAGTTTTGAATTGATTGGTGCTTGATAAATTTTAGTAGCTGCTGCTATGGTTGACAAATCAAATGTCTAGTTCCTTGTCATCCTAACAAGTTCATTTATTGATAGCAGTCAGCATTCTTGTATTCTATTTTTGTCATCCTCTTGCGCTTGTGTAAACTGACAATTTCCAAAAGCTAAGGACTGATCAGTGATCAACATCAGGCCCAAAAGAAAAAACAAGACTGGTCATATTCTTTTTTTAAGAAAATTATTTTAAAAAAATTGTCAGTTAAAGTTGGTTGGCTCACCACGCTCTTCTTGACTACTGTTCTTCCCTGGTCCGTGAGAGACTTTAGTTGGTTGAGGCAGCCGTTTAAGACCTCCAAATGAATTAAGGTTCAGTTTTTCATTTTTGTTTCGAATTGTCACTTTCAACTGGAATCTTCTTGGTCATGTTAGTGGAAGCACAGTGAAATTTACAAATTAGTTGAAGGGTCAAATCTGAAATTAGAATCAAACTTAATGACTAATTTAATTTTATCTTAATTTCATTTTCATTTTTACAATTTCAACCCACCAAATATGGCTTTAGGTGGGAGATTATCCTTTTCATAGAAAACAGTCCCATTCTGCTTTCCCGTTCTTGGTTTCTAGCTATTCCTCTCTCCCCTCCAGCTGGAATGCGGATTTTCTACGCTTCAGGGGCGGCTGCTCACGATACTAGCCATCGGCTTGAACGGGTGATGCTCTTGTGGCCTTGTGGTTGTCCATCTTTTGAACCCATTAAACACAGCTTGCTGGTTTCATGAATTTCGAAGCTGAATCTACGCACACTCAGAAATTACGTTTTCCTCCAGTTCTTTCTAGCTTCGCTAAGGGTCCAAGCATCAATGGAGGTGAGGTGGGATTCATATTATTTCACTCTTCTCGTAAGCAAAACATAAATGAAACTTACTTCAACCTTCATTATCCCCCCTTCACCAGTTATTTGCAGAAAAATAAAGCTTCCTTCCATATCCCCTTGAAAAATGATATGCCAGAGCTACATTGTTTGTCCGCAAAACTCCAGCCATTCTCACCAAATGAAGTTTCTCTCACAATAGCTAAGACAAACAATGAAATCCTTGCTAAATCACAATGTTATATATTTTATCAATGAACTAATCAATCACTTAATTACTCGGTTTGGTAGAAACTTCCATCAGATATACGGTTAATTTAGAGATGGGTGAATGCTGGCTAATCTAGATATAATTTTGAAATAGGACACACTGAAAAAGCATGGTACTCGGGGTTTGTCAATATTGTCGGATATGGCAGACGAAGGTACAAGACAGATTTAGCCTTAGAATATTTTAGTTGCCACTTGCCGTGCTGTGTCTCATTACTCGTGCGCGCACATGGCCGCTTTATACTTTATCCCCTCGCCTGAAATTATTTTAATAAAAAATACAAATTGAGTCCCAAAGTTCTCTCCAATCTGCGTTGCCCTCTGCACTTAAATACCCCTCTAAATTATGTTCTCCGGATCATTATCATCAACCTTCAAACCAACTCCACATTTGACTTGTTGCTGCTGCAATGGCCTCAAGTTAATCTTCACTGATTTCTGTCGATCTTCTTAGTGGCTACGTTCCTTTTTTTGGTCGAAAGTGGCTAGGTTCACCAGGGTAAACCAGAATGTGGATATCATTATGTTATTTTAGATTAAATGCGAATTTATGCTTATATTAATAATTGCTTTTAAAAATCCCCTTGAAAAGCGCTGTAAAAATCAGTTATTTGCTGTACTGCAGGAAATTCATAAGGCGGAGGGGAAATGAAAGTAGAATAAATCGTATTTCGGTTGAAAATGTCATAAACAGCAACAAATCGTGCATTGATAGCACTTTTCACTGAGACCCACATCCTTTAACCCCATTTCCCTTCAACCATCGCAGCCAGGTCTGTATCTTGCTTCCTTGACATTTTCCGGGCGGCAAAAGCTATATATTGGTGCATTATATTTAATGGTAATGAAGAATTTTTCTGTACTGCCTATTTGCATTGCTTTACTCTTCTTTAGAACCTCCACTTCATTAGACAGTATCACTCCGAGTCAGCCTTTAAGAGATGGTCAGACCTTAGTTTCAAGTGTAGGAGCATTTGAGATGGGTTTTTTCAGTCCTGGAAAAACGAAGAACCGATACGTGGGTATATGGTACAAGCATATTTCTCCTTTGACAGTGGTATGGGTGGCCAATAGAGAAGCACCGCTCAGTGATGGTTCAGGAATTTTAGCAGTGAACGATCAGGGAATTCTTGTCCTGGTGGATAGCACAAATAGGACTGTTTGGTCATCTAATAATTCTATAATAGCTGAGAAGCCAATTGTAAGGCTCTTAGACACAGGAAATCTTATCATTAGTGACCAAAAATACTGTGATAAGGATCATTTCATATGGCAGAGTTTTGATTATCCCTGTGATACCTTATTGCCAGGAATGAAGCTTGGATTTAACCTGGTCACTGGTCTGAATAGGTTCCTATCTTCTTGGAAAAGCCCAGATGATCCTAGTCAAGGGGAACATATACTGAAATTATACCCTCAAGGATATCCACAATCATTTCAATTGAGGAGAAACGTCATACATTTCAGAGCAGGATCGTGGAATGGCCTTTATTTTACTGGATATCCAGTTCAAAAACAAAATCCAGTATACATGGCAAAGTTTGTTTTCAATGATAAAGAGGCATATTATGAGTATGAACTCGTGAATAGTTCAGTTTACTCCAGAATTACAATGTCTCCTTCAGGCATGGGGATGCGTTTAGTATGGAGTAATCAAAGAGGCATGTGGGAGATTATCTCAGCTAACATGGCAGATCAGTGTGACAATTATGGCTTGTGTGGGGCATACTCTATCTGCGATTTTAGTAGCTCCAGTGTCTGTGAGTGCTTGAAAGGATTTATGCCCAAAAATGTGGAACAGTGGAATATATCAAATTGGTCCGGTGGATGTGTTCAAAGTGCTCGAATGGATTGTAACAGTATAGATGGCTTCCGAAAGTATAGAGGTGTGAAATTGCCAGACACATCTTCTTCCCAGTTTAATAAGACCATGAACCTTGAGGAATGTCAACAATCATGCCAGAGAAATTGTTCTTGTACAGCATTTGCAAATTTGGATATCCGTGATGGAGGAAGTGGCTGCTTACTTTGGTTTAATGATCTGATTGACATGAAGCAATTACCTCAAGGAGGACAGGACATTTTTATTCGTGTCCCTCCTTCAGAGTTAGGTGCACTCTTCTTCCTTGTTTATGCTGTTTCTTGTGTGTTTTCATCCTATCTCTTTAACCTTTATGACTCCTACTTGTTTGATCATGATTCAGAGTGATCCCCACCCTTACCCCCAAAATGAAAAGAAGGGTGTAATGAAGCGACAATTTCCATGATGATACTGATGGCTCTTTCAGTTCTGCTATATGAAATGTCATCCACAAGCAACAACAACAATACAACAATAGCTTAAACAAGAATATGAGTTAAAAGTTTTTGGTATTGATCACGTGCAAAAAAATAGTGCTTGTTGATCGATTTTTCAGAAAATTTCCATCCATTGTCAATTTTGTCTGCAGCATCAAGAGATAATTTTAGTTTGCTTTAATCAGATCTTGTTCTCTCAACTGTTGTTAGCATCAATTGAATCGTTGTGATCAAATTGGTCACTAACAATACTCTCCATTTGGCAGACTTTTTTGAGAATAAACGCTATGGAAACTTCAATAAGAGAAAGCTCCTAGGAATCGCTGTTGGTTCTGTTGCAGTAAACATGGGCATGATGCTTATAATTTTGGGATTGATTAAATGTGTATGGAAAAGAAAACTCAAAAAGTCAGGTGAGCTTCAACATCTTCTGAGATCTGAGATAGCCCCCTCGAAGGCACAAAAAGAAGATATGTTTCGTCGTGGTACTTAATTTTTGGAATTTTTATTTTACACCATTGCAGGGATGACAAAAATATGTTATAAGAATCCTTGCTACAATAAATTAAGAATGGAAGACACGGATCTACAGATATTTGATTTGTCAATCATTGCTAAAGCCACTGATAATTTTTCAAGCGCCAATAAATTAGGAGAAGGTGGCTTCGGACCAGTCTACAAGGTAATGTAACATTATCGTTTTCTTTTTTCTTTTTACCTGAAGGAAGTATAAATTATTCAAATAAGTACAGTTTTGTATTCTAGAGATTTCTAATTATTCTATATGATGAATTGAAGGGCGCTTTGGGAGATGGACAAGAATTAGCAGTGAAAAGGCTATCTGAGAATTCTGTTCAAGGTTTTGAGGAGTTCAAAAATGAAGTTTTGTTGATAGCCAAACTTCAACATCGTAACCTTGTGAAACTTCTTGGTTGCTGCATTGAAAGAAGAAGAAAAACTGTTGATCTATGAATACATGCCGAATAGAAGTCTAGACCACTTTATTTTTGGTATGAACCTTTATAGGTTACAATTGAACATCTTTGGCAATGCTCTGTTTTCTTATGTTTAGTATTTGAATGCTAAGGCCGCAAGAGGTATGATAAGCATGTCTCTGTAATTCAATAGATGAAAGTAGAAGCAAGGTGTTGGATTGGACAGAGCGTTTCCACATAATTAATGGCATTGCTCGTGGACTTCTCTATCTTCATGAAGATTCTAGATTAAGAGTCATTCATAGAGATTTAAAAACAAGCAATATTTACTAGATACAAATTTAAATTCAAAAATATCAGATTTTGGCCTAGCTCGAACATTTGGGGAGATCAAATTGGGGCCAAAACAAGCAGGATAGCTGGAACATAGTAAGATTTCCTTTTCATGATTCATTGTTCCTATGACTGTATTTACATTAAACTTATTTCAATTTACATGTTACTCTTATAGCGGTTACATGCCTCCAGAATATGCTATGCATGGACATTTCTCGATAAAATCAGATGTTTTCAGTTTTGGAGTAATAGTACTAGAGATGATCAGTGGAAAGAAGAATAGAGAATTTTCAGATTTAGAAAACTTCTTGAATCTTCTTGGATATGTAAGTTTAATGATTTAACTTCCTACCTGATTCATTAAATCAGAATATGGCTTTTACCTTACTAATATGATTCCCGCTCTTGCTTTCAGGCATGGAGACTGTGGAGAGAGGGAATGGCCCTGGAATTAATGGATCAAGCATTAAGAGAAAGATTCAATCTATCGGAAGTCATGCAATGCATACAAGTGGGCCTGTTATGTGTGCAACAAAGACCAGAAGATAGACCAGACATGTCATCTGTGGTTTTAATGCTGAATGGAGAGAAATCATTGGCCGACCCAGGTGCTCCCGCTTTCTACATTGAAAGTAAAATGCCTGAAGCAGATTCTTCCCTGGAAAAATGTAAACCTTCCTCACCAAATGAAATGTCCCTTACAATATTCGAGGCAAGATAGTGTATACAAAGGCTCTACTTACCTGAATGGAAAACGTTCATCAGTAGAAAATCACTCTCATTGTGCTGCGAGACATGATGGTAAGTCCTAAAATTATGTTGAAAATTCTTCATTCGATATAAACATCTAAACCAGGAGTTGGGCCCGGCCTGACGTACATCTTGTCTTAAGTCGTCTTCCTAAGAGACAAGGGCACACCAGTTGCTCCAATTGTCTCAGGCCATTTCTACAAGAGCCGAAGAGGGTAGAGGCCTTGTACTTAATTTTCTTCGTCAAACTTCAATATATCAAAGAAATTTTCAGAGACGGACTCAATGTTTCCACTCCCGTGGCCGTTGGTCATGCTAAGCCTAATCACTTTTTTCCCTCTCCCTCTACTTCCTCTGGACGCCATTGATGAGAACAATGATCTTCAACAACGATATTTTCACTAAATAAACTACACCTTTTACATTTACTAATTCCTCCAATCTTCTCAAATGCCTCTCCCTTCTCCCAATCAATTTTGGCAGCTTTTGGAAATTCACTTCCTTTCTATCTCAGTATATATAGAATAGGCGAGGAGGTGTTATGAGCTCAATAAAGGAGAGCACATTCTAAACTAACCTATCGGGAGGGGGATTCATGACAATTTTACCATGACTCACTCGACCTTTTATTGGTCATAATTCATAATTCTTTATAGGTAGTTTTTTTAAATAATACCCGCTTATCAAAGAAAGTACAATTTGTCATGAGCGTAAAATTTAAAAAAAAAAACTCATCTTAAAAAATTAACATTTTAAATTAAAGAGCTTTTAAACTTATAAATCACACTTTATCCTCATCGTGGACTCATAACATGAAACCCACCTCAACAATGAGTTGGTTTTGCCGCAGTTTGTACCTTGGTGCCTTTTATTATTTGTTCAGAATGTGACTGGTTTTTTTTTTGGGTAACAATGTAACTCTGTTAGAGTTCTTTCCTACCTCAATTTTAGGATTAGCTAAATTTCGCCTCTAAGTTTATGTAATTGTATTTATAGCATAATATCAGCAAGTTTTTTTTTTTTGGTTGATATCAGTAAGTTTAAAGTTTAAACTGACCAAATATATAGAAGTCTAGGATCTTGTTAGGCATAAATTCATAAATTAGCATCCTTTCCTCGGCATGGATGCAACATTTCATACTTTTAAATTTTGAAAATTAAAAAGGGTCGGACAAAAAAAGATAATTAAATTATGAGGGTGAATTAATAATAATTTTAATTTTTCAACATAATTTAAGTTAATAAAATGAAATATTTTAAAATCTTTAGCAGATCAATATACTTAATGGCATTAAAATTGTAAATTAAAGCATGAGTTTAAACCTTAAAGATTCCCCGTAATTATAGCAAAATTAAAAGATTGTATTTTACTTTAAATTTAGAGAGAATATCAATAAAACAACTTTAAGAAGAATTTAATATCTGACAAAAATTTTGAACAAATAGAATGCTTGTTAAAACAATAATTTCACTTATTAGTTTGTTAATGTTTACCAGTAAATAATCCTTTTAAGAAAATTAAATTTCTTATAAGTCTTTTATTGATATTATCCTTAAATTTATTTATTTACTATATTAAATATGCTTATTTTGTATATACTACATAAAATCTCAAGAATAAAACACATCATTCATGATCTAGGAAAAATGCAATTTTTAAATATATAAATGTGGGATAAATTTCATAAAGAGTTATATAATTGATGATATAATTTCTCTATTAAAAAATATAATGCATTTTTAATCAAATTTCCACTCTCTGCTAAAATAGTTAATTGTTTTAAAATAATATTATATTTTCATATTTACTTTTATTTAATATGACATTTTTTTAAAATAAATAAAATGATGTGTATTTATTAAGCATATTTTTAAAAAATAAATTAATTACACATTAAAATGTTAATTTATTTTTAATATCTAATCCGTAAAAAATATTTTATATTTTAATCCAAGGGTGTGTATCAAAACATTACAACTCGCTCATGGAGATCCCGTCAAGTCAAGTTCGCGAAAAAGCAATAAAACAGCCCAAGACTTTCTTTCTTCTTTCTTTCTTTTTTTAAGGAAGAGGAGCAATGTGGAATAGAGGATGAGATAATTGCAAATTAAATCGTATAGTATAGTTTTCATACTTAATGTCATATATTTTTATATATTTTATCTGAAAAAATTATAAATCTTATAAAATAGACTTAGTTATAAATAAATTTTATGAAATTCAAACCACAATCAAATTTTTTAAGATTTAAGTGTAATTTGAAATTAGAGTGTGAAGATAATAATATTTTTATTAAAAATATATTATATTAAACAAGCATTTATAATTATATTTTAATTTTTTATAATTATAACTTTACATATCCAATATTTAAAACTGATTTTGCATTATAAGTTTTTATTAATTGTAAACAATTACTTCAATATTTTATAATTATAATTCATATATTTAATAATTAATTAAACCAATCATGCCATACTGAAAAAGCTTAATACTAATTATTCACACTAACATTTTAATATTACAACTATGAATTTATATATTTAATAGTTAAACTCATTATTTATATTAATAAAATTTAACATTAATTATTTATAATGTTTTTCCATCAATAATTATAAATATGATTTTAATTTTTTATAAATATATAAACGTGTGATAAATTTCATAAAGAGTTATATAATTGATGATATAATTTCTCCGTTAAAAAATATAAAGTATTTAATTAAATTTTGCTCTCCATTAAAATAGTTAATTGTGTTTAAAATAATATTTATTTTCATAATTACTCTTATTTAATATGCTATTTTATTTTAAAATAAATAAAAAGTGATGTATTTATTAAGAATATTTTAAAAAATAAATTAATTGCATATTAAAATATTAAAAATATTTTATATTTTTTAATATTTAATCTGTAAAAAATGTTTTATATTTTAAATTCAAGTGTGTGTATCAAAACATTACAACTCGCTTGTGGAGATCACGTCAGTCATGTTCGCGACAGTAGTAGCAATAAAACAGTCCAAGACTTTCTTCTTTCTTTTTTTTTTCCAAGGAAAAGGAGTGATGAGGAATAGAGGATGAGATAATTGCAAATTAAAAATCGTATAGTTTTCATACTTAATGTCATATTTTTTTATATATTTTTATTTAAAAAATTATAAATCTTATGAAATAAAACTTATTTACAAATAAATTTTATAAAATTCAAAAATGACAATCAAATATTTTTAAACTTAAGTGTAATTTAAATTAAAATATATGATAATAATTTTTTATTAAAAATACATTATATCAAACAAGTAATTTATAATTATTATTTTAATTTATATTAATTGTAATTTTACATATTCAATATTTAAACTGATTATGCATTACAAATTTTTTATTAATTATATACAATTACTTCAATATTTTATAATTATAATTCACATATTTAATAGTTAATTAAACCAATCATGTCATGCTAAAAAAGCTTCTAATACTAATTATTCACAACTAACATTTTAATAATTTACAACTATAAATTTATATATTTAATAGTTAAACTCATCATTTATTATTACTAAAATTTAACATTAATTACTTATAATTATTTTTTCATCAATAATTTATAAATATAACTTTATCACACCTTAATTTTAAATTATATTCATATTTTAAAAGATTTATTGTAATTTTAAAATTTAACTATACTTATTAATAAATAAGTTTGCTTTGCGGCGCCCATATAAAATTTTGATGACGACAAAAGAGACTGGTGCGGAGACTTGTGGGTGAACCGTGAAGGAAGGAGTCGAGGTCAAGAGGGTGGGTAGGAGTGGGTACATTTATGATCACGGGCGACCACTCGTTGATATTATATCTTTGCAGCAATAATTTTGTGACTCAGTCATACCCTGTCTCGCTGCTGCACTGTTTCGGTAACTTTTAAGTTTTAACCAGCCACAATCAATGCGAAGGACTCATGTTTGTCTCCTACTGCAAATGATGCCGCTAAAGTAGTTTTCTTTTTTGATCTTTTTGAGTGAAAAGCGGGCTTCTTTTCATGACGTACGTACTCCGTCCTTTACTATTTTGCCTGATTTCAAGACTCAAGTGCAAATCACACATACAATTAACACTATCAGTTAAATATTAGATTGGTAATCTTTCATTATTTTTTTATTAATTCTTTTTTTAAAAAATGATTAAAAATTTCATATTATTGTTTTATTAATTTTAACTCAAGTTACAAAATTAATATTCCTTATTAATTTAATATTAAAAAAATAGATGATTTTTTACTAAATTTTTTTGCTAGTTTACATTTTTCTAGCAGTAATTTAGACAGATAAGGTATATTCATGTAGGCTATCCCAAATAAGCCTTGCTAGCTAAGCTCAGCTAAAACCTTTCTGGTTCTAGCTAATCCAACTATTTGAATTATCAAGTCTTTAAAATTTAAAAATTTTTAAAATTAATTTTTAATTTAAAATTGATTATTTTTGATTTTATAAAAAATATAAAATACATTTTTTGGATACTTAAACATGGATAAGACTCAACTTTTTTTAAAAAAATATGGGTCTGAAAATTTAAAAAAATTTTAAAAATATGTTTTAAATATAATTTGAAGATATTTTATAAATTTAAAATGATAAAAATATGACAATGTAAATATTAAAAGAAATAAAAAACAATTAAAGGATTCCAAAATCTCCCTCAACCCAAGATCCTCTTTAAGTCTTTCACTCTTACTCTTTTATAGCCAACCACTTTGAGACTAACCACTGGTGAAGACAGCGATCAATATCTATATATTTAAATTCCATACATAATTAATACAAGACCATTCGCGTGCGAGCTAACAACAATAGTGCTCATTTTTTAGACTTGAATGCAATACCCACACAAGTAAATTTAAAATCAAATCATCATCAAGAGTCTTCGACATCAGTCTTGATCTTGCCATCAATGTGGCCTCCAAAGTAGTTGTGTTGTTTTGCCTCGTTAAATCCATTCAAGTTCCAAGTTTATATCCATCAAATTCTGGCTTTTAAATTCCCACAAATCCCTTCAACGATTTCAGTAACCCCCCCCCCAAACCGTGAGAAAAACGATGGAAACTTCAGAAAGCTTTCTGTGTATTTTTGTTACTGTGCTTCACAAGCATGTCCTCCACGCTGGACATAATCACCCCAAGCCAGCCCCTTCGTGATGGTCACAATGAAAGTCTGGTTTCAGAAGGAGGAATCTTTGAAGCTGGATTCTTCAACCCTCAAAATTCAAAGAGCCGTTAC